TGGCAAAGTGTTTGTGCTGTAGCAATAATTGTTTGGTCAGCACTTGTATTAACTCCAGCTTTTCTAATTTTAAAAGCATTTGGAAAAATAAGGGTGCCCAGAGAAGTAGAAATACGTGGATTGGATAGATTTAAACATGGGGAGGCAGCATATCCTTTGACTGCTTATGGACATGGATGGGGGGATGGAACTGAATTTGTTATTACTCCATTACAGGATGTTGGGGGAGATGCTGTAAATGGTAAAAATAATATAAGGGAAAAACAATTATTTGTTTTGATGTTTTGTTTGTTTCTGTAGTAACAACAATGATGAGACTAACAAGAGAGAGAGGAATACAACAATATTTTGTACAACAACATTTTGTGCATAGAAGGGTATGTTTAATGAATGTTTTAGAGAAACTAATGAAAATATTTAAGCAAAAACAAACAAGCGCAACACCTTAAAATTACAAGGAATTAAAGTAAATAAATTCTAAACATTTCTCTAAACTTTGCATTTTTAAAACAATTATTTGCTCAAATAAACACAACAATAACTTTAAATTTGTAAAAATATATTAAAATTGAAAAAAAAGTTTCTAAAATTAGACTTATTTTTTCCTTTTTTATTTCTTTAAAAATGTCATATATAGGGTAATTAGAGGTGCATAGTCAAACGGTACTCTTTTTTCCGGAGATGCCTGTGGACTGAGATATAGGGCTCGAAATGGTCAAAAGCCATAGGGGGATTTTAGGGTCAAAAATTTGAATATACAAATAAAAGCTCATTCGAAAGAGCTTGACGAGTTGAGTTGAATGACACCAAAATCAGCCCTCAGTCTCAACATTGAGCCGAGATAAAGAGGCTCAAAATAGTCAACGTAAACCTATGGAAGCGTCGGCGAGGCGCTTCTGCAAAACCCGGGCTTTCTCGGCCTTCTGAGAACACCGTACAAATCTGAATTTTTTCAAACCCAACCTGTTCCCATTATATTTTTGGTAATGCAACGATTTGTAGCTCACGTTTTGGCGTATAATGATTTGGCTCTGGTAATGTGCGATCAATATTCTGAATTTATTGGGTACTTATTGGTGTAATGAATTTAATTTTTCGGAATATAGAGAAGGACATTACTTCTTTATTACACAATCATTTAAATGTAGACAGGATTAATTCTCAAATTAGGTTATAAAAACGTTCATGTCTTAAGGGAACATTTTATATAAAGTTGTGTTCTTGTACGAGAAAATGCCCTTCTCTACATGTCAGCAAAAATAATTAAAAAGTTTGATGGAATATTCGCAGCCCATAGACGTTATTGACTTCGTATTTCCTAAAAATAAATTTAACATTCCACCAAAACTGTTGTTATTCCTCTTCGAACATTTTTAACTGAGATATAGGGCTCGAAATGGTCAAAAAAAATGTTCCTCTTCGAACATTTTTAAGAACCCTGATCCTCCGTTATATCCAGGGTACCGATACGAATCCAACTACGAGCTTTTTAACCGCAGCAATAATTCTATGTATTAGCAGAGCTGGAATTACCGCGGCTGCTGGCACCAGACTTGCCCTCTGCTTGATACTCGTTAAAGGGTTTAAATTGTACCCATTCCGATGACCGGCCTCAAAGAGAACGATCTCGTTATTTCTCGTCACTACCTCCTCGAGCCGAGAGTGGGTAATTTGCGCGCCTGCTGCCATCCTTAGACGTAGTGGCCATTTCTCAGGCCCCTTCTCCGGAGTCGAACCCTGATCCTCCGTTATCCGTCACCACCACGGGAGTCGATTATGCTCCCGTCAAGTTGATAAAGTGGACGCTTGAAAGACACGCCGCCGGCACAAGGCCATGCGGTCAGCTTAGTTATTCTGAGTCAACAAGAAGCAGCCGAAGCCGCGTGGTTTTGTTCTAATAAATGCGCTTTTCCGAGAGGACAAAGCTTTGGTGCATGTATTAGCTCTAGCTTTTCCACAGTTATCCATTTAGATAATCAAGATCAAGTAAATCATGGCCATTGTAATGAGCCGTTCGCGGTTTCTCGTTAAAACGATTAAACTTATACATGCATGGCTTAATCTTTGAAATGAACACATCAGTTCAGGCAGGATCAACCAGATATCTCGTAGATCCAGGTAAAATTCACTCACGAAATCTGAGAGTAACAAATTTTACCCAGAAAAGCGTTAAGCTTAACAATAACATACTCGATCACAATTGGCGCCAGAATGACACACGAGGCGAGACAGATTTGGTCTCACAACCAATCTCGGGTCACTTGCTAGCTTTACGAAACACTCAAAAGTGTGCATCGAACCGACCGATTGCTCGTCTTGCCAATTCAGCAATGAATTAGCTGAAAATTCAGATCCTTCAACGAGGACGCTTCGTCTCAACACAAAATATCAACTTTTCACTTCACCAATTCAGCCCAGAGGCTACATTTAGTATCAAATTTTTTTTCTCTTTCATCGAGATCCAAGCGATAAGCAATTTCCAGTCGGGAATTTTGTCAAACCCCCTTCATGCTAAAATATTAGTGCCTAAGTGTGAAAATTTCAATATTAGTTGCGGATTTCTTTGGATCAGCTGTCATTTAGCCCAGAATCATCCATTAGAAGATCATAGAACACTTTAGAATGATGACAAATCGATTTAAAACGGTTAAAAATCAAAGTAGCACATTTGAGTCTTCAGATTGAACCGTAAACATGTTGATTGGATGATAAGAATTTGCATCAAAAGACACCAAGAAGCCCGGAAGGACTTGAAATCTGCTAAGTCGAGAATTATTTATTTTCCTATACATTCTTCTTTTCCATTTCCTCAGCAAACAACCACTTTATTTTACAATTCGCAAGCACACAGCCACTTTTATAATCTTACTCAGCGGACAACCACTTTTCTAATATAATATGAGTCGAGGCGAAAAGAGAAATGGACCAAATGCAACTCCAAGCTATGCGCCATCATGAGAAAAATAAATGGAAAGAGAATTAAGCAAGAAAGAAAAAAAAGTGGTCGTAGAAATAGTAAGAGTGGTTGTTTAAATAGTATGTTATTTAATAGTAGTAATGAATTATTGAAACAATTTTTGAAAAATTTGGGCATGACCCCTTCATACAGTAACATTAAATGTGAATTTTAAAAATAATTGAGCAACACGTGTTCCATACTATAAAACAAGATTTTTTTTAATACAAAGCCATTATTATGACAATTTTTGGAAAAAAACCGGCATGACCCCTCCACACATTGTAGTGTCATTTTGTTTAAATTAATTGTAATATGTATTTATTGTATATGTATTTATATTTATTATAAATGTTTTTTAACCGTGCTTATTCATTGTTATATAATTTTATGATATTGTATGCTGATTTGTCTTTAAATGTGTAAGCAATAACGTATTGTATATGTATTTGTATATGTATTTATTAACGTATCTATATTATGTTGTATATGTATTTATGTATATGTATTTATTAATGTATCTATATTGTGTATGTATTTATCATGTCTGATCTCCTTTAAACTGATAGCCTCGCTTTTCAAGCTCGTGCTCTTGTATAAAACTACGACAGTATATGCATGTGTTATAATTTGTGTATGTATATAAGTATTTTTGTTTTTTGGTTGTATGTATTGTTTTACTGATTTATTCTGTATTTGTTTGTATAATCTGAATAATTTCATATTATTGTGTTTCGTATTTAATTCCTTAGAGTTTTTAATTAAGTAGTATTTATGTACCCAAAACTGAAATAAAATCCAAATACAACCTTAATTTTTGAGCAATTAGAATGTACTGCTTAGAATGTATTAGGGATTTTTTAAAATCATAAACTGTCAAATAATCTCAATGAGCTATCGAAAGTTGATATTTATGTTAATACCTTCTCCCTATTATTCATTTTACGTTCAGTTTCGTCATTTTTTTACCACCGACCGAAATCAAAAAGTTTAAGACTTCAAAGTTTCCCTCACTTTTCTTATTAAAGAGAAAATACTCTTTTTTGCTTATTGGAGAACAATGTACCCCGTTGCTCCATTTAATGCGGATTAAAAAAAGGAGAGAAAAAGGGAGAATTTTTTTCATAAAAGTTATACCATCTTGTAGAGCATAGTCGAAAACCTATTGTAGTTTCTGGCTTTTGGCCCGACCCCCAAATCAAAAAGTTATATGGCCTCAAGTTTTCGACTTTTGGAGCGGCTGAGTCTCACTCATAAAGAGAAATTTTTCTTTTATTAAGGAGAAAATAATACTCCCATCCTCCTTTTCCCTTTCCTTTTCTTTCACAATATTAGTTAAAGAAAGAGAAAAGGAGGAGAGAAAAGAAAAGGAAAGGAGGCATCTCTGCCATCTCCTCTTTCCTTTTTTAATCACATTAGCTGGAGCGCAGAGATGCCTCCTTTCCTTTGCTTTTCTCTCCTCCTTTTCTCTTTCTTTAACTAATATTGGTAAAGAAAAGGAAAGGAAAAAAAGGAGGTGGGAGTCTTATTTTTCTCCTTAATAAAGGAAAAATTTCGGCTGTAGTATAGTATACCGGTGGAAAGGTTTCGATATAAGACCCATACCATTCGATTCGTCTCGGCGAGCTGAGTCGAACGGTACCACTCTTTTTTTCCGGAGATGCCTGTGGACCGAGATATAGGCCCCCGAAAATCGAAAAACAATAGGGGGGACCAAGCACTTTTTTGGGGTGAAAAATTCGATTTTTCGCGTGATAGCTCATTCGAAAGAGCTCATCGAGCTGAGGCGAATGACATCAAAATCAACTAAATCTGAATTGATTAGACCGAGATACAGACCTCTGAAAATTGAAGAAATACAAGGGCAAATTTTGGATAAAAAATTAGAATATACAAATGATAGCTCATTCAAAAGAGCTCCTCGAGCTGAGTCGAATGACACCAAAATCAGCAAAATCAGACTTGATTTGAGAAAGTTATGACTGTTTGTTTTAGCTCCTTACCTATGTCATCCGTTGTGTTTGCTGGTGCGGAGGAAACCGAGCAAGCCCACTTCATCGATAATATGAATAGGATTAAGTTACGAGCCCAGACCCAAAGCCCGTAGACTCCCCGCGAGGCGCGTGCCGCAAAACCCCGCGCGAAGCGCGGGGTTTTGCACAAGCGCCTCGCCGACGACCCATAGGTTTATGTTGACCATTTTGAACCTGTTTATCTTGGCTCAAATTCAAGATCTCGAGCTCATTTTGGTGTCATTCGAATCAGCTCGATGAGCTCTTTCGAATGAGCTATCACTCGAAAAATCAAATTTTTCACCCCAAAAAAGTGCTTGGTCCCCCCTATGGTTTTTCGATTTTCGGGGGCCTATATCTCGGTCCACAGGCATCTCCGGAAAAAAAGTGTGGTACCGTTCGACTCAGCTCGCCGAGACGAATCGAATGGTATGGGTCTTATATCAAAACCTTTCCACCGGTATACTATACTATATCCAAAATTTCTCTATGAGTGAGACTCAGCCGCTCCAAGAGTTGAAAATTTTGATGTACTATAACATTTCGATTTGGAGGTCAAGGCCAAAAAGCCAAAAATTGGCAATAGGTTATCGAAACGCTCTACACAATGGCGTGTTACAACACAATTTTTGGTCAAAGTTCGCGTGTTCCCTTGTCCGTATACTAAGTTCGGATATGAGTTCAAACTTATAAACATGAATCGGCAATAAAACCTGAAAACATATCTTCCTACTTTTCACGCGTTCTGGTGGATTTCTAGTTAATCGCAAATAATTAAGTAATCCAAAATGTACACATTTCACTCTCTCCCTTTCCCTTTGATTTTTGGATAGTGCAGGAAAGGAAGAATTAACGCAATCCAAAATGTCACTACTCAAATTATTTCCCTCTCTATTATACTAGGATGCTACAGGAAAGAATTAGCACAATCCAAAATAATAACACTCATTCTTGCCATGACCGGAAAATGCGTCAGTGGATACTATAGCGACCCAGGAACGACCCAAAAGATCAATGGAGAGGAGAGAATTAATTGAGTGTTGACATTTTGGATTAACCAAAAATCATCCAGAATGGATTGAGAAAGAAGAGTTCTTTCAAGTTTTATTGCCAATTAGATTGTAAGTTTGAATTCATATTCACTCAGCACAATTGATTACCTAATGCCGAACCTTCCGAAAAAGTACTACAAAAAATTTAACCGCGGTGAGGTTAGATAAGCACAAAAAATAAGGCGGAAACAGCTAATAGTGAAGATTACCGATTCCTAGAAGAAAAATAAGCAAAAAGTGCTTTTCTGATATTGCTAATGCTTGCGATTAAATAATCGACCCGAATTCGACCAAGTAGTGTTCGAGTTAAAAATCTGAAATTAAGATACTAAAACCATTCTTACTCATCTCTTAGAGTTTAGTTGAATCGTATCCATATTATTATTTGCCAACATTAAGCGAAGGTATGATCAATTAAATAAACGTTTGGAATAAAAAATAAATACTCGCTTATAATCAATAATCAGAATTTGGTTGAAAGGTGTCGAAACATAATTTTCCCAAGTTAGCACTAATTTCAATTTTCGAATTCACAACCGCTATTGACCTGATCGAATTCGGGTTCGGGATTCGAAAAAAACTCAATCACCTACTGGAAACCTCAAAAATATCGAAGAGCAGTTCCTCATCTTTCTAGGGACCAGTAATCTTACTATAGCCTAGACCTCTTAACACCAAATTTTAGAACATTAACTAAAAATTCAAACGTATTAACACAAATTTAAATTCAACTTTTGAATCTCATCCCACAAAATTACTGAGGAAACCCCTACTCAATTCTTCAATATTAGCCCAAAAATATAAAATAAAACTTGCAAAATACCAACAAAAGCGGCGCAGAAAGCAATTGATGTTGCGTAGTTACAGTAAATGGCAATTAAAGTTTTTCTCAACATTACCTAAATTTTAAAAAGTAATGTATTAAAAAATCATTTTTGAATTCAAAATTGGGCAAAAAAAATCAAAAAAATTCCCTGAAAATTTTCTTAGCTACGGGCCTATAATCCGGACTCCGCATACTCAATCACCTACTGAAAACCCCACAAACGATTTGCCGCGACGTGAAGTTTGAATTAAAAAGCAG